ACATATATGTTCTAGTTTGGTTTAGTGAGATAAAAATTTTTATTACCTCCATGTACAAATGAAAGAGTTAATGCATATCAGTCAAGTTCAGATCAGGCATGTGGGCTTTGGAGTTAGTTCTGGGTTTCCTGTCTGTCCCTGGGTTCATCAGCAAAGTATGGAATCACTTTAACTGCTCTAGACTTATTTGATATGTTGGAATGTACCCATGACATCGAATAAGACTCTAGTAGTTGAACAATTATCATTCATTTGAACAATTATCATTTAGCACAGTACCTGATACATAATACTAATAACTAAATAAAAGTAAGTATTATATCTATAATGACATGGCCGATCATTGGTTGACTCAGATTAATCTACCTTCTTCATTGAAATGTTCAACTTTCTGGATTTGTATTATGTTGTGTTTAGTTACACAGTCAACAATGATAGAGCTCGTCCTAGACATGGAATAAGATTCAGCCTTCTATATCACAGGGCTTAGAGCATAACAGGAAATGTCAACACTTTAAAAGTTTCTGGTAAGCCGGGCTCGGTGGCTCAGCCTGTCATCCCGCGCCTTTGGGAGGCTGATGTGAGTGGATTGCCTGAGACCGCGGGTTCGAGACCCGCTGGGCAGCGAGACCTCATCTCTACAATAAAATCAAAAAATCAGCTGGGCGTGATAGCGCACGACTGTAATTCCAACTACCTGGAAGGCTGAGGCGGAAGGATCGCCGGAGCCCAGCGGGTCGAGGCTGCGGGGGCCAGGAGCGGCCACTGCACTCCAGTCTGGGCGACCGAGTGAGACTCCGACTCAAAAAAATAAAATAAAATAAAAGTTTCTGGTAATTAAATAAGTAACAGCCAACATGTATATGCCATACAAGATTAGTGCAGGTGTTCTTGTTTTGTTTTGCTTCGTTTTTGGAAGTAGGTAAGTAGAACCACTAACTGGGCAGGGAGTAAATCAGAAAAGGTTTCTCTGAGGAGATAAGTTGAAGCCGAAACCCGAGGACATGAAGAAGACAGCTGGGTGAATTGAAGGGCGAAGTGTTCCAAGCAGCAACTGGAAGGCAGGGTCGGCTGTGTAAGATGGCAGGCCACGAGGACTTCATCTCAGTCTCAAGTTTTCCCCAAACTCAAGCTGAATGCCATTTGTGAAGACTGAGGCTGGTTTTGGACCCATGTCTATTTGAGAAACACACACACACACGCGCGCGCGCGCGCGCCTTTTGGTGGTAAAAAAAGCGGAAAGGTGAGTCAGGAAAGTGGGATTGCCCGTGGGAATTCAGGCATAAAGAAAGTGACTTCAGCATAAGGTCAACCCGGCACAAGTACAGATGAGCCAGGCAGATGTGTGTTCTGAGCCTCGCGATGATGGCAGAACTGAACGGGTCATCGCCACGAAGGGCTCTTGAGTGACTTTCTTATTCTCGCTTCTGGGTCGTACCGAATATCACGTCAAGACAGAAGTGCAGATCCTTGAATATAGTAGCCTGTCATCATGGAAACAACATTTATCTAGACCACCCGCCCAGCATGCTTAAGCTTGTGAACTGTGATAATAGTTCATGAATTTATAACATCCTGTGATGTGTCACAGTATTCGAAGCACTTCCTTGTGTTCACTCACTCCTCACCACAGCCGTAAGAGACAGGTTCTGTTATTAGTGTCACACATTTCAGATGAGAAAACTAAAGGCTAAGTACCTAGTGTAAGGTGGGGCAGAGCTGTGATGTGACCTCAGACAATCCAGTTCTAGATCTCATATTGCTGACATAGCAAGGCACAATGCATATCAGAGATGCTGGCATGATACCAAATATGCTGGTGGGTATAAAGAGACGGTGGAAAAGAATTACAATCATGAATGTAAATGAATCCTTCCAAGTATGTTTCAAAAATTCAGTCACAGAATACCATCTAGTGATACATGGCTGTGAGACTGTCACAGTGTATGTTCCTGCAGGGCAGCCTTGTAAAGAGGGGTGACTCTTTCTGAGCAAGATTTCAGAAAATGGTTGAAATGACTCTACAAGGCAATATACGACCATTGGCACACCAGATGTGTATGCACATTCAAAGATCAGCAACTGAGACGCAGAGTTTCCCAGACTGACTTTGAACATTACTTGGGAGGTAAAACCGACAGGACACAGTGACTGATGACTAACTTCAGGGTGTTGTCAAAGTTAGTGCGGGGCTTCCGGCTTGAGAAGCAAACGAGGTGACGATCAAAGCACTCACTGAGACGGTGAACACGGGAGGCACTGCAGATAATGGCAGGAAAGGCACACCTGCTCCAGGATGTGTTGCTTTTGGGATGCCTGAGAGACATCCAGGGTGTGTCGTCGAATATGTGAGTCTAAGATTCAGTAGAAAGATACGAGCTAAGCAGATCAGTCAGGAGCCATCTGTCACGTAGATGGTGATGACATTCCAACAAGCGAACAAGATCTCTTAAAGACTGCATTGAATGGAGGTGAAAAGATGGACAAGGCAGAAATAGCCTGTGAAGACCATGAAGGTGTAAAGGTTTTGGAGAGTGAAAAGAAATGGCCAGAGATGTGAGAAGAAAAGCAGCGAAGGGTAATGTCCTAGAAATTTAGGGAAGAGAACGGATTTTGTAAGGAAACGTGCAAATACTCTAGAGTAATACAGATGCTGTTGCAGACAGTTTTTTTCTCATTCAAATTTTTTTTAATTTTTTATAATTTTAAATTTCTTTATTTTAAAGATGTGGGGAGCAATTCAGGGTTAGGTATACAGACGTTCATTATGCAGGTACCCTTGTTGAAACAGGTTTTCTATGCAGCATAAAGTCTGTTAGATGCCTCACCAAACCATAAAGCCAAATCTACGTATCATTTAGTGGCTGGCATAGAACTCGTTGTGGCCAGGATCTTATCAGAAGAAGGTAGCACAGAGGCATTATCAAGCATGGTCATATGCTGTTGTTTAGCTTAGTCTTTGTAGCACAGTTTCTTGCAGTTGCTCTCAATCTTCCAAACTACCATTTAGCTCTTTAGGGTAGAAGAAAAACGCTTGCTTTTTTTTAAAGCACTAAACCTTTGTTTCTCTTTTTTTCATTATACTTTTTGATTCCCAGTAGACAGAAAAATCTAATGTATTTATTCTTATTCTTGAATAAAGCAAATGGTATTGTTTATACTTATGTAGTGTTTAAACAGGCAAAAACAAAATCCTATACACTCATACCAGCCATATCTGATGCTTTGCTTAAGAATTAAGTAATAGTTGATTATTCAGATAAGTTACAATGCATGCCTTTTATCCAAGGTGTGAATTTGGGGGGTATCATTTCTTAAAATTGTGTCAGTACTCAAAAATAGAAATACTGCAGGAAAAATTTTAATACTGAAGATAACTCAGAGCCTAATAAGCTTGTTTGTACAAGTTTCACAGTAATATACCTTTTCACCTGTGATGGGCTTCACCTCGGACTGCCCAACTGGGTCTTTCAGTTTTGATGTAGTAGACCAATGTTTCCCACACTTTCATTTATATTTAATATTGTCTTTAACTTATCATTTAAGTTATACTTTTAAAATCCTTGGATGTGAATAAGGATTTTGTTCTCTCTGTGTGTCAATCGTTTTTGCAGGCATGTTAGCCTACCTAGAGTGAAAACAGAAGAAAAGGAACCAACCCACATCTCAGAGGTTTAGCTCTTCCATCTCTACAACTTGGGATCGGACAGATAAATGGAGAAAAGACTGAATCATATCTATTCTAAACATTCAAGATTCCAGTTAGCAAACTCACAGTTACCTGGAGAGCAGACTATGTCACAGCTAACAGAGGTCCAGACAAGGAAACCTGTGGGGAGAAATGACTGGGGAGAAATGATTGACATATGATGTAGATTTGAAGGGTCACAACTAAATCTTATTCTGTTTGAGTCATTAAAATTGAATCTTCTTACTATTCTTCCAACTTCCATATCATGACACTAGTTTTGGTAAGACAGTAAGAGAATAACAAAAATAACTTTGACTTGTGAAAACAGATCGTTTAATGGCAACTTTTCTTGGTTTTCCAATTCCCTTTGGCATGCATTGAGATGTGATTTTTCGAGGCCTGTGCAAGGAAGTTGAAGGGCCTTCTCTGTTGAGATTCACTACAGATCACTCTTCCTTTATAGTATAATCAGAATCCTTCCTGCTGAATGATTCTCTGCTTTCAAATAAATAAAAATTCCATTATTAAAGAAAGAAGTCTTTTCTCCCCCCCAAGTCTTATTTACTTAGAACAGTCTTTCAACTGTGGTTATGTCTTTTTATTTTTGATCTGCTACTGTTTTTAGTCAAACCGAATATTTTCCCCAGGATATTAAATACAGATAAATTAGTTTGCTTTGATGACCACTTAACACCTAGTTTGAGAGTCGTAATGTTTTTTCTGATATTTATTGGGTGAGTTATATAGAGTGTGTAGAGAGTACCTTTCTTGGCAACATTAATGATTTGGAAACAGAAATATGGCAACGGCTTAATATCTCTCTGTAGTCTTATCAAAACATCCAGCTTGAAATCTTGACTATAGGTAGGAAATTTCCCCAAAACAAAAGTAACGTTTAGTTAGGTTAAGTGCCAAGTTGCTAGCTTGCACTGTATAAAAGTCAATACGTACCAAGTCATATTAGTGAATTTCATCTACACTGCTCAGAGGTTGTTGAACTCAATTACAGAAATGTGCAGAGCTGTGTTTGATGCGTGAAGAGGTTAGGAGACCACAATCAATTAAAAAGAACACGTGTATATCCTGTTCTGGGGAACCGGTTGTTATAGTATCCCTTGTTCTGCTTCTGCCTTTTTTTTCTGAGTTTTCCTCTGAACATAGGAGAACAAAGAGTTTAATAATTCCCTGGTTTCATTTGGAATTGTTTTCTCAGCAATATCTTGTAGGAAGTCAAGAAACGGTTGTTTTACTTGAATGAAACCTCAGGCAGCCTCAATTAAACATGCCGTGTCCTTTTTTCTTTTTGTAGCAAAACCGTTTGAAAATGGACAATATTTGGACATTTATGGAATTACAAGAGACCAGGCTGGGGAATACGAATGCAGTGCGGAAAACGACGTGTCCTTCCCAGATGTGAAGAAAGTAAAAGTTGTCGTAAACTGTAAGTCTCACCAATTTCTATCAAGATAACGTGTGAAAAAAGATAAAACACACCTTGAGAAGTTCTTTCTGAAATGTGTGCAGGTGTTTTTTTAAGAAGTAGTCTACTGGTAAAGATCACCTACTGACAGTGAACAAGAATACATGCTGGAATACTGATCCGATTGCTTTATGTAGCAATAATTGTCCCAAGTAATCCCACAAGAATTCAGCCTGATGTGTGGATTGATCCGTTGCAATATCATGTTAGTCCCCAGCATTCTACACGGCGGTATCCTTATCTCTAAAGCACTGTAGTCACATGTCACACATGTTTGTTTTTCCCCTCGTGGACTTTCCCTGAAGTACATTCAGACTAAATTTAAGTGTGTGACTCCAAGTCAGACCTGATGCACATGAAGGGTGCTGGTCTGTACTCAAAGAGGAGAGATGTATTGTGAGACTCCTATTGCCGGGTGATTTAATTCTATTTCATTTGGAAAAAAAAATAATTGAGAAAGAACTTTTCCAAGAACTTCGTTATTAGGAAGAGAGGATATAAGCTTGATCCCTGGAGAACTATCAGTACCATTATGTTGTACACTTTCTCTGTCCTCAAGGCACTGAGATAAGACAATTTTCCAATAATATTCTATTTTATGTCTTATGATCTCCACAGCAATGACTGCAATAGTCTTTACTTTTCAAACACACCCCCTTAGTCTTTTTCTCAAAAGTTTTACCCTATTTAACTCCTTCAGATCAAATACCTCTGAGATAATAGTACTTTGTCAAAAGTATTTACAAGGGACAGCTTTCATTTTTAAAAATTCTATTTGTACATCTGTCGACATACAGCCTTTGCTCATAATGTGCACATAGTAGTATGCCATAGATCAGAAGAAATTGTTCTAAATATATCCAGAAATACTAGAGCTAATCAGCAGTTGTTTCATATTAATACAAGTCTTTCAGTCTTAGGGTCCAAAACATAACATTCACAATAGTCCTGGCAGTCGAGCTGTGTGCCAGAGCAAATCACAGCCATCAGCTCACACTTGTCACGACTAATCTGTCTACTTGTGGTTGCACTGCCTCCCTCCGTCATTCTGAGCGAATGTGCCTGATGCCAGATGAGGAGTAGGTTTTGGAGCAGGGTTTCTCACAGGGTGCTCTGCAGACAAACCGTCGCAGAATCAAGCAAGGTGCTTATTTAGAATGGAAGCTGTCTGGGCCCTGCATCCGCCTACTGAATTGGAGCCCTTGGGACTGGGCGGGCCTGTGGCCTGGAAATCTGCATTCTAGCAAGCCCCCACGGATTCTCAGCACTCTTATTGCAGAGAGCTTCTGCTCGTTCCTCTGGGCCTCGCTGAAGTAAGAAATAGCAAGCAAGTAAGCACGCCCGTCCCTTCTATCGCGAGCCATGTGTATCTGAGTAGGTATGACCAGTTTTATTATCAGAGGGTTGAAGGACTGGGAAGTAGGGGGTGGGGAGCAGAGAAAGGGGATTCTTAAGAGAGGGGCAGAATTATTATTCTTTTGCCACGCATGAGCGCTAAGAAATGGGAAAGTAGAGTGAAAGCTGCAAGGAGCGAGGCACCCAGCCAGGAACAGTGGCCCTGTCTGCAGCTCCATGCCCAGTCCGTGGAGAAAATGATGTCTCCGATGGGGTGGATGGAAAGCCCAGTTTCTGTGTGGGTTTTCGTGGGCCCATGCTCCATGTGTCATTGGCAGCTTCTCTTGAATCCTCACCTTTTCTTCATCCCTTCGACTTTTGTTCATTGCTACTTGTTTAATCCGATTGTCTTTTTGCCTGGACCCGTGAGGACTTGGGACTGAGGAAGTTTAACTTAAGGAGGTAGAAACCTGGGGAGAAATTTAATAGAAAAAAAGACACATCAGCCGAGTTAATCACCATCTAAAGGGTTTGGAGAGGAGAGATCCTACAAAAGGCAAAACAACAGAACCGCACAAACAAGATGTCGAGGACTGCAAGGTTGTGCCACAACGTCATGGATGCTGGCAGCTGACAGAGACAAAGGGCCGTGTCCTTCTCAGTAGTAGTGAGAGTATTGCAATTTCCTCACACCGTTCCTCAAGTCCGGTCCCTGCAAGGTGCTGGGACGAGGGCTGGGTGGTCCCTGTACACAGTAGGCTTGTGTCACAGCGGAGGACGCACTTTGAGCTTGATGAATTCAAAACGGTTGTACCAGCAGCAAACACATCTGCCCTCTGCCACAGAGTGAGAAGCTGTCTTTATTATCCTGGATGGTCAGCAGATCTGCCCCTGACTCCATAGTGAGTGCTCCTTCTGTCTTCCAAGGCTGTGACACGATAGTCAGGAAGCAAAGTCATTAGAGCCCCTCTTTTGAGATGTGCAGAAACGCAAGAGACCCATGAAGAATTGTCTTCCAAAACACATGGGATCAGGAAACTCGAAATAGAGCCTAGACTCAGTCCATGAGCTAATAAGGATGCTTTAATGACTTTTTCTAAGGGTATCAGACACCTTAGCCTAAGTAGGAAACAAGACTTTGCTGATCACTTTGTTTTCCTCAAGAGGGAAAACTGGAGGAACTAGGAAAACATTTTCAAGAGAAAGGTGGGGAGGTGCTTTTTAAATCATGACAGAGACCGCCTCTTTCAAGAGCAAATTTCAGGTAGATAATGCATGACTAGAAGCCAATATGTGTTGCAGAGATAATATTAACTTCTCTCACACTAAAAAAAGTGGACCCAACAGTACTTTTTAATGATCTTAAACAATCAGATTTGTCTTCTGTTTCTCCCTGGATCAACCCTCTGAGAGCTCATCTTTATCTCAATGTTCCGGGAAAACCTGTTTATACTGATTGTGTTTAATACTAATTGTGCTTAATACTGACGCCACACACGTACAAGAGATATCCAAGGTGTGAAGGTGTGAGAGTATGGGTATGTCTGCATATGTTCCTGGTTGTGACAAGGTTTGCAAAGTGTTCATTTTGTGAAACTGCCCCTTTAAAAGCCAAAAATTGAGAGGTGCCTCTGCATCTTACTGAACTGATTTCCCAAAGGAAATTAGCCAAAGCCTACTGAGCAAACTTTAGTTCATCAAAGCCCCGAAATGAGCATAGTGGTCTGTGTTACCAGCACAAAACTGCACATCGCCTGATAGCCTGAAGATTCCCTGAAGATAGCATCATGCCAGATTCAAGGCAGCCCTTCCAGTCATCATTATTAATCAACATTAATTGTGCATATGGGATTGCAGTAGCTTTGTGAATTATCATTTGAAGAGAAATTTTGTCCCTTTTCGCAAATGGGTGCAAGATGAAATATAATAAATTTTCATAAGCACTGGTAGATTTGGTTATGTGGTAAGTCAATTTGAGAAAGAGATTTAGATTCCCTGAAAGTTGGAAAGATGTAATATTTTACTATTTGCCTAATACATCTGCCACATTCGCTGTACATAGAAAACACACATACAACAAATAGCATCATACTTGTCACCATAAATTTCTATTCAATTTAATTAAATAGCAGTTTGGCGAGATGATTAATAAATTGACTGACTTTATATAGATTGGACTAGTTTGTTCATTGAACAGATCAGTTCATTTTGAGTCATTCAAGAAAGCCTTACTAGAGGTAGAAAAATACTTGTGTTAATGCAATAGGTTATTTCTCAGTCAAGGGATTGTAGGTATCTATTCTTCTTATGTTTTTCTATATTTTTCCTTATATATGTATATTTGTGTGTATATACATTGCTTGTTAAGTTCAAAGAAACTAAAGGAATAGAAAGTGGTCATGAAAATGATCATATCCAAACCTTGAGAGATTCACACACACACACACACACACACACACACACACACACACACACACACAGGAGAAACAAGCCTAAGGCAATTTGGTGACCTAAGCCAGGGGGAGCAGGCGGATTTAGACTTGGGCAGATTCTCTGCTTTGTTTTTTTTTTTTTGTATCTGTGGTCATCCCTAGCAGCAGCCTAGTGGATACGAGGCCCATAGTTGCTATTGGAAATGAAGAAATGGAAGAATGAGCGAGTTCCAGAAAGCCACGGAGTCAACTGAATTGCGAAAAGCAGGAACCTGTGAGGGTCTGGGTAGGAAGGGCAAAGTCTGAGTCTGGAAGATAGGCGATGGTGACAGGTGGGAAGCCCCTTCTTGCATCCGAAAAACTCAGGAAGGGTCACAGACTCTTAACCAAGCAATGGACATCTGTGTAGGAAAGCAGAGCCTCGGGTGTAAGACCTCAGCGGAACATGCAGGATTCAGCCCTTCTGTGTGAGTGTGGCTTGTGAGATGTGTGGGATTCTCCGATCTGTGATGGGCTGTTTTTTCTTTCCCCTGTGTGTGTTTGTTCTTCCAGTTAGGAGTGGCTAATTTGGACATGTGGGTCTGAGGGCCATGTATTATTTCCATGACTGTGAGTATGCACATGCTACATACTGTGCTATAATCTACTGGGCTTTGACAACTTGGTGAGCAGCTTTGCCTCCCTAAGTTTCAATTTCCACTTTTGCAAATTCAGGGCAATAATACACTGTGTGTGTGTGTGTGTGTGTGTGTGTGTGTGTGTGTGTGTGTGTGCGCGCGCGTGCCTGTGTGTGTTATGAGGGGGAACCGCCCCAAAACTTGATTTTTTTAAGCAAAAAATTGTGTATTTATTCTTACGAGTTTAAACTTCAGTCACCTTCACAGTGGTCCTCTTCGTTTGATGCAATACGACTACTGAGATGCTTTTTCCACTGCTCAAAACAGCTTTGAAGTCATTAGTGTCTGATGCCTTTTAGTAGTTCTGCTGTTTTTTGTTTCTTCTCTTGCACATCGGCCAAACGTTTTCCCTTGAGGACTTTTTTCCTCCGGGGAAACAATAAAAAAGTCTCTTGGGGTGAGATGAGGTGAATAGGGAGGGGAGGGCACGGGGGGTCATGCTGGGTTGTGGTCAAAAACTGCTGAACACTCAGCACAGTGTGGGCAGGTGCCCTTGTACATCACCCATCATGAAATG